AATAATAATAATAATGATAGTAATAATAATAATTAGTAATAAATAAATAAATAAATAAATAAATAAATAAATAAATAATAATAAATAAACAAATAAATAAATAGCAATAATAATATTAATAACAATTAATAGTTAATTTAATTTTTTTTTATAATTATAGTAATCATAATTTTTTTTATAATATAGTAATAACAATAACAAAAATAATAGTGATAATAATGACAATAATAATAATAATAATAATAATAATAATAGTAATAATAATGATACTACTAAAAATTACAAAAAACTGGGTGGAACATATAATCTCTAATAAACTATATGAAATGCTAAAAAATGGTCATATATTAAGAAGTTAATCCAAAACATTTTATTCCTGCAGCATAAACTTCAACTAATAAATCAATTTCTTTTCTAAAAATACAAATTAGTAATTATTATTAATTGCATATTACTAAAACAATGATAATGAAATATATTTATGGATTACATCAATAAAATTTCAATTTCCGTTTGGAATGGAATGAATGAAGTTAAAATACGGCCATTAAACCGGTTTTGTTGACAATTACCTGATAAATGAAATGTGTAAATGAATAAATGAAATGATTGGTAATGACATTTTTTTAAACTACAACTTAATGTTAGAATCGTAAGGGTGGAAAAGCGAAATTAGGATTCTTGAGAGAGAGAGAGAGAGAGAGAGAGAAAGGAAAGAAAAATGGAAAATCTATTTGAAATATGGAAAAAAAAAATTTAAGTGTTTGTTTTTTGATGTAAAATTGCTAAATGATAATAATTTGCTAACAAAAAATATAAATTTTAGGCACACGTTTTCTTCAGGTACACGTTTTCCTCACGTCTTACATTTCAGGTATACGTGTTTTTTGTCGTCTTACATGATATAATGCATGTATTGGTTGCTATTTGAAATATGTAAAAGAACACGTACGACAAGTAACTATTGTTTATATCAAGCAGATCTTTTCTTCGATATGAGGTGAAATAGTAATCAATATGGACAATTTTATCAATAAATTGTTTCAAGTGATCAACCAAGTTGTATAATCCTTTTTTTCACGTAAAACACGTCGTAACTTACGTGTAAAATGACGTTAAGTATATTATCAGACGTGTATAATCTAAAATGAAAAACGAAAAAAACCAATACGTTAGTTTATCTTATTATAAATATTAACCCACCAATTTGATAAACCTTTGAATACCAAACGTATTTGAAAAAAGGAAACCAATTGAAGCCTAATAATTAAGGTATTGTAAAATTGATTATTTGACCTTGATCTTTGATCTATCTAATCATTTATCAATCAAACATTTTTCCTTAGCATGTTGAAAAATGATTACTTTTCGTTCAAATTCATATTGCTACTTATTTTTTCCTATTAATAAATCCTTCAT